AGTATCTTTTCGGAAAGAGTAGACGACTGGCATTTTTACAGTGCACGTGTGTCGACCAGAGTGAACATTGCTGAAGCGCCTCCAGTGTGATTTTGGCCGTAAATAACTGGAGGCCCCGGGCAAACCCACCCTATGTAGAAAAGTATCTACCTTTCTGGTTTCATAGAGAGCTATGAAAGGGACGAATCCCAGCCGAGTCAAACTACCGGCTTGCAAACGCAATCGTGTTGGCAATAGCTCTAAGGAGTTTGTATGACTCTCTCTGGCGGTGTGCAGAGGGTAAAGGTGCGGAGGTAATATATGCTTTTGCCTAGTCACCTCGCAAACGGTTGGGTATTGGCTACAGAGATCCATTTCGCTTTGTTTTATCACCGGGATTATAGCTTGATTTCTGTGTTCCTAATTTCACAGACAGAACGAAATCGCTTTTCTCGTATGGCGTCACGGCGGTGAGACAGAAATCAATCAGTGTACTGGAATTCGACGCTTGTGCTCGTTCTATAGCGCTTCTAAAAACCGTGCGATCCCGGCTGTGCAACGTCAAGATTGTATAAACTGCCATTACTTGTACACGTATTGCATCGTGAGGGAACGACTATGACTGGGTAAACAGGAATAGGGAGAATGGGTGCGTGTGATTTCTTGAAGTTCGAATCAACAAATCAAGCTTCAACGAATGCGATAGTATTGCATTCACTCAACCAGCTATATGAGTTTTCAGACGGTATATACCTTCCAAGTATGCGATTCGTGTTCTGCCAGTGGTATTTCAGCTAAATTAAAAAGCAAAATCCACGTTGAAAAAAAAAAAAAAAAGTTTACGGTGACTCGAGTCGTTTCCGCGCAGAATCATGTTTCACGTAAGCGTAATCTTGGGGTCGATGCACGACGAGGGGTCTTCAATCATAAAAATAGTTTGATAACGATTATTGGCAACGCTAAAAATTTGAAAGCCAAGCAGTGAAGACAACGGTGTTATAAATATTATATACATTTCATTTTACACTGTTTGAATACGCTGCCGTCGTTATGTTCTTAATTATTGGCTAGCTTGTGGCGAACAGGGAAGTCTTGCAGGACCATATGATAGGACCTACACTAAACCTGCCGCGCTGCAAAAAATGTTAGTCCAGTGCATACAAGCTTGTTCAAGGCGGACGGAGCGTTGCGCATCCGGCAAAGCGCATTCGGTCGCTGCCCGCGGCGTTTTTCTTTTTTTTTTTTTTTTTTCGAGCAGCGATATAATTTTTGGTCAAGCAGCAGGCCCCCTCTTCGGCGGGTTAGGCCGTATTAACGGAGGCGTCTCCTAATCCATTCTCCGTGTTGTCCCCTCGGGGAAGGGCGGTAAACGGGGGGGGCGGGCGGTGAAGGAAGGAAAGGAGGGCAGGGGAGGGGAGGAGGAAACGCAGAAAAAGTGGAAAGCGCGAACTGTACGGCGGCCTTTAATATGCTTAAAGCTGATTATCTCTCTGGTTCGTTTCTCAAAAAGCCACTGTTTTGTGGCTGATTTGAATGTTGTTGCATACCCATATTTATTACATTGCTCAACGGAGACATGTCTTGGGGTTTTTGGTGTTCAATATTTTTTTTTTTTTATATATATTTAATGATACATGAAACTGTAATTTTGACCTATATTTAAACAGTGTTGCAGAAATGTTTTGGTTCGTTCACTTGTTTTCAATCACCTTGATGGATGGCAACATTTATTTATATTGTATTTGTCATGCTTGTAACATTGTTGTGCTGCAGTGCTGAACTGTAGGGGGGCAGAGGACCTGTCAGTCACCAAGCCTTTATCTTTGTAAAAAATTCCACGAAATAAATAAATAAAAAAAATATTGAGACGAGTAGTGCCCCACGTGGGGTGACGGGCATTAAAATCACCTAAAAATAAAAACAGTTGAGGGAGCTGTCCCACAAGTCCCTGGAGCTAATAGAGAGGCAGGGGAACATTTGGAGGCAAATAAATAGAAACAACTGCTATAAGGCGATCTAAAAGAAGACGTACCACGACGGCTTCCAGTGGTGTGCACAGTGGGACCTCGGAGCAGGCCACCCCACTCTACACAATCACTGCCACGCCCCCAAAAAGAGGAACTGAAACATTCTTTAAAAAAAACTAGACGATGCCTTAAAATCTGTGTATGATGAGCTTGAAGATGAGTCTCTCGTAAACCAAGGGCAATAGGCCGAAGATCATAAAATAATTAACATCATCAATATTGGGTAAAAGACCACAACAGTTCCACTGCATAAAATGCAATTCTTCATTTATCTAAAATGGTGGAATGTGAAATTCAAATAAGAGAAGCAATGGAAAAGTTGAGAATACTAATATAACAGTTATTTGGGAGGGACCACTGGCTTTTTTTTCTTTGGGCCTTGGAATTTGCCACTCCATGTCATCCCGGTCACATGCAAGGGTGGGTGACTCTGAGGCCTCATCCATCACCTCCACTTCTGGAGTTGAGACTTTACTTAAAGGTTTTGGCTGACTCGTTGCACAGGGCGGCATGCCCCGGCCACGACCAGCTAAAGAGGCAGCAGAGGTGCTAAGGCAGAGTGCCTCAACTCTACCCGCTTCGGCCCCTTGGGTACCGGGAGAGCGGCACAAGGGTTGTGCCGCTCTTCGGAAGAGGAGGTCCTCTCCGAGGAGGTTGGGCGGGAGTGTCGTCCTTTCTCCCCAGAAGAGGACTGCGATGTGTGTACAGGTACGGCAGTTGCCGGCCTGTTCAGAACCAGCGAAGCAGCCTGTGCACTCTCTCCTGGAGGAGGGGGGTACTGCTGCCCCAACGGGGGGGTTGGGGCCTTGAGGGCTGCCTCCAGAACCTCAGGCGATATCTAGGTAGCCCTCGACTCCGAGCGTGGCACAAGACCCCTGCGTGCCACGTCGGCGTAAGATCCCTTCAACACGAAGGAAAACTGTTTCTTTGCTTTGCTGTAACTGACATTTTCTTTGGATTTGATGGCAAGGATTTGTTTTCCTTGCTTCCAGATGGGACAACCACAATAATAAGTAGGGTCTGGTCCACTGCAATTAGAGCAGTGGGCCACATTCTCGCAAATGTCGGAGACATTATGTTGACTGCCGCACTTTGCACATGTCTCTTTCCCTCAACAGCTGTGTGTTGTGTGACCAAAACCCAGACAGCGGAAGCACTGCTGGGGGTTGGGGACATAAGGGTGGATGTGGCAGTTCAGGTAATGTATGCCTCTCAAAAGTAAGAATGACGCGGGACTTCTTTGCCATCTTTCTTAAACATAACGCGTTTTACCGCGACGACGCCAGCAACCTGGAGCCCCTCGAGGAGTTCTTCACTAGTGTGCAAGAAGTCGTCCTCGGAGAGAACTCCACTAATGGTGTTCAATGTGCTATGAGGGCTCACCGACACTTTCACACAAGGATAGTGTTCAGCTTCAGGAGTGCTTCACTTTGTTGTTTGGTATTACAGTCAAACCCGTTTATAACAAACAGCAGGAAACACTACGATCAGTTCGATATAGCAAGTAATTCGATATAGCAAAAAACATTTATAACGAACTTCCAAGATGCGTTTGTTGTAAGGCGAGAGCTTTTTTTCTTTCTCATCTTTTCACTTTCACCTTGTAACAACGCGCTGCAAAGTTTTTTGTTGTTTTTTTGCATGTGTGCAGTTTTTTTTTTAGCTTATATTCTTTTCTAAATAGTTTCTCTTCGTGGGCAAAAGCTTTGGGATGAAAAGTTTTTTTTTTCTGTGTGTGCGTGCAGAGTGTATCTTTTAACTTTCTCCCCTTCTGAATTGCTTCTCTTCGCTCATATTTTGCTTGCAACTTGAGCTTTTGGAATTTTCTTTCTTTCCTTCTTTTTTAAGGGGAAGGGACAAGCTAGAAGACGAATGTTTGCGCGATTTTGGAAGCCTTCCCGGGGGGGGGTTTGATATAGCCAAAATGTTGTTTGTTGTAAAATGTGCTTTTTACATGCATTTTTATTTAAATTTTCCGTGAGTTTCATATCGACAATAATTCGCTGTACGTGGGTTCGTTCTAAAAGGGTCTCACTAGGAGGTCTCCAGAGTGGAGTTTTTTTTAGCCTTGTAGGAAAACCCTACAAGGTGTTCAAGTACTTTGACTACAACGAATGTTAATAGCTTTGACACTGGTTTGTGTTCATCGAGAAAATGAACAACGAAAAACTTCGTAGAGGTTTCTACCTCAGGTTCTTTTCCAATAGTCTTGTGGTCAGGACAGCACCTCTTCACGGCATGCCCCAAACCGAGTTTGAAAGGGAGGGGTGCCATAAGAGGACAAAGAGTGTTAAAAATCTGCGGTACACCACCTACCACAAAGCCCAACAAGGGGTTAGGTAACGCACCATAACAAAAGGGGCTTTGCTGGAGACGTTACTCTAACAGTGCTGCCAGGAAACTATGCCCAAGCGTGCAACAAGAGTCAAGACAGAGGTCTATCGCCACCCAAGGTTAGCCCTTGTCACCAAAGATGAAAGTGGAAAGAAGAGGAGAAGGGGGCAAAGACAATGAGAGGAGGGGTAAAGAAAGGTGACTGATTGAATAATCTTGGCCGGGCCTTACCAGGACATGTGTCTATTAGAAGCAAGGGCCAAAGTGGTATATTGCCTCACCCAGGGGCCCCGAAGGGTCCAAACCTACCCCGGGCTCAGCTCAACCACCAGGAAGCCCTTCTCCCCAGACACGGGAAAGCCACGCACAGCCAGACGTGGGCAAGCGAAGCTGCATAGCTCGGGGTCCGTGGTGATGCCACTCACCAAACACCTACTAATGCAGGAGCCCCCTACGGGGTTTGGACCCAGCGGCATGTAGCACTGGCTTTAGGTTATCGTAGGATGAGACAGAGTATAGTGAGAAATGGCTCCCACTGCCATTCTGGAGATGCACATGTTATATCACGCACAGTCCATATGTTTGAAATACATGATGATATTAAGGAGACTCTGTTGGGTCAGTAACCACCGATAATCTCAAAACTGCTGAACTACTCACCTGTTTCGCAAATTCAACTGAGCTCTGCTCGTTTTCGAACTTCACTGACCAGCTTGTTCGTTCATTATCGAGGAAGCTTAAAAAATTGTTACCTTGAGCCTAAAAAGAAAAAAAAATGTAACATAGGGGTAATTTTATTGCAACAGGTGTCAAGGTGTCAACAATATCTTACTATTTTCAATATAGTACTATACACTAACAAAACCGAAATGAATGAGTTAATATGTTCCCAAAACACTTCTTATGGGCTCAATCTTCCCCTTACAGCAATGACTTTAGGCAATATCAGGTACTTCTAAACAAAAAGATAAATAAAATATGCACAGAAAAACTTGCCTTAAAAATGAACTGTTGGTTTATTGCAGCAACGGCAATGTGTTGTTGCTTGCCCTTGTAGAGTATCAGTTTATACTGAAACAGTGAAAAACATTACTTAAAAGAAAACAAAAACTAGTTGCGCTTTTATAGTGGAAGGGCATCCACCAATAACTGATAACTGTCAGCTGATGAAAGTCTGTTGAGTTAGACCATGCAACAGGAAAGTTCTAAATCAATCAAAAGCCATAATTCCTGCTTCTGTTCAGCCAGGACGTGCATACTTTTGAAATAAACCAAAAATAACAGAAGCAGCATAGCAAAATAAAAAGTGGCTATGACAGATGACATCATCCATCAGTGAAATAGTATGGCTAAATCTACAAAACCAAGAACAGCAATATTGTTCAACACAACTAGCACACTCCACTACTTCACAGCAATTGCTAAACATTGCAGTCATGAGTAGCTTAAATTAAGCAGTCACGAGCAGCTTAAAAACTGGTTGTAGTGCAGTCAGTCATAGACAAAGGCAAGCGTGTGAACTAGCCTTTACTGATCGGTGCTAGTCACTGCTATGCGTGTATATAAACAACCCTGAAAAAGGCCCATGGAGACTCAATTAAATTCTTGGAAAAACGAAATTTAAGCTGCAACAAACAATAAAAAAATAAAAAAAAATTACTGGTGGGGGAGGAGTACTAGAGACTTGGCAACGAAGCAGGATGAGGTTGCTGTACAAGGGTAAAGGCAACAAAGACAACATGAAATACTGCCGTCCCATCACGGTAACATCTGTCCTATACAGACCAGCAATGCAGGTAATGAAGGGTAGAGCAGGAGAATGGGCAGAGACAGAAGAAATGTTAGGAGAACTCTAGAATGGTTTTCACAAGGATAGGAGACTAGAAGATAAATTTTATGAGGTCACGCAATGTATAGAAATAGCGCAGACAAGCCAACGACCGCTATGTATGACCTTTTTAGACATACAGAGGTGGCATTTTTAGACAACGTAAACAAGAAAATTCTGTGGACACAGCTAAAAGAATCAGGTTTAAATATAAAATTGGTGAGGTTCCTGCAGGAAGTGTACATGGACAATACAGTAGCATGGGAGGCTGAAACCACAGAGCCAGCAGCAACAAGGCAGGGCCTTCGGCAGGGATGCCCCCTGCCGCCTCTACTTTTTATGATATACATAAGGAAAACGGAAAGAAGACTAGAGCAATGTGAATTAGGCTTCAATGGGTCGTATAGGTAGAGAGGGAGGGATAACAGTGACGCAGAAGTTGCCAGGCCTAATGTTCAGATGATATATTACTCTTAGCAGATAACCGAGAAGAGCTGCAAAAATTTATTGGAATTGGCAGTGTGGCAGGGGACACTTTCGGGTTTAAATTCAGCGGAACAAAATCGGAAATTATGTCTTAATGACATCAAGTGGAATTCTTTAGAGATACAGAACATAGAGAAAGATGTGGTGGGCAAGTAGAAAAACCTGGGAGTTCGGATCAACAAAGGAAAGAAATACCTTGAGGAATATGAGAGACATAATTGGTAAGGGTAAAAGGAATTCGGCCATTATAAAACAATGGGCACCATGGAACTTCAATAGATACGAAGTGGTGCGGGAAGTATGGAAAGAAACAAAGGTACCAGGATTGACCTTTGTAACACAATCTTGTGCACGAGTTGTGAGGAGATTGGAGATAGGACAAAACAGCATTGGCAGGATAGCTCTAGGGAAAAATGGGAACACTCCAATAGAGGGAGTGCAGGGTGATATGGGCCGGTATTGTTTAAAAGCAGAAAGGCAGAGAGTAAAATACATTTCGACCAAAGACCAACAGACATAGAGGACGTGCGGTGGGCGCATAAGATCTTCAAATGCCTGGATATGAGGAGTCCGAACACGAAATGGACGAAACGGACATGAAATCTTAAGACGGAATTGCTGCAGACGGGCAACGGGGTGGAGCAAACGCGTTCAGTGGAAGAAGCAACAAGTTGGACAACTGCAAAACCTCCCTACTCGACTCAAAACGTTAATATTGTGTAACCATAAGGAGGCAGAGAAATGGATGTGGGAGGAGAAAATGCAGGCAAAGTCAACTTAAACAATTTACATGTCACAAAAACCAGAAAACTAATTTTACGCGAGAAAAAAAGAAATTTTTTTAGAGCATTATTGACGGTGCGAGGCGCAATTTAGTTGGCAGTCACCTCCTTTCCACTTGTTTGCTCTCGGCATTTCAAACACGTAGAGGAGAGGTGGATCGGCTTCGCCTTCACGACCGAGATGGTAATTCCGGAATGACCCGTGACATCATAGACTTCGTGCGCAGAATTCCCAATAAATTTCGCCGTCAATATTGCTCTAAAAATTTTTTTTTTCACGTAAAATTTATTTCTTGACATGCATGTTCCAATCAGGCTGTTGAAAAAAAAAATTTTTTTTTTCTTTTCAGGGTTTTTTTAAAAACGAAAAACATACAAGGCCAAATTTGAAGAGACAGATACAATGTGCACATTATGCGAGGAGACGGAAACAAATAAGCATGTGGTTCTAAAATGTGAGGAGCTAGGTCCTGCCCTTCCCGGAGGGGCGACACACGTACCGGTGGCCCTTGGTACCGCTGGGGAAGATGGAAGGGTGGATTATAAAAGAGTAGAGGCAACGAAGAAGAGTTTCCCCCCAAGTGCTGGTATAAATTATCTACGGAAAATTTAACGAAGTATGACTAACTAGCACAGCTGGGGGACAGGCGGGAAAGAGGAAATCGGGACTCCCTCCCGCGTGGCTCCGGCCGAAATTTTCTTCTGGCCGACAAGGTTCGACCAGAGGAAAATTGGCAACTCCCTTGCCGGGGGAAGGAGGCAATGGGTGATGTTTTTACTTTTTTTGCCCGATTCCCCAAAAGTCTGCCTGATGATCATCTTTGTGGCCTTGTGATAGTGAGAAAAATGCTTTGGCTTGAAAGGGGAAATCAGATTTTTGTTACTGTTTTTAGGCTAAGTGGTGCAAGCTACTGCCCGTTATAAAAGGTGCAGCCGTTATTATCCACCCATCCATGCAGAGACATGGGCAGCAGGGAAGTTTCTCTGACCACCGACTATTGCAGCATAGGAAGAGATGGAAGACAAAAGCTTAAGCAAGCGGAAAAGGTGCTAGTTTTTATGAAACTACTTCGTTGCATGTGGCATTCTTTTGACGGGATACTTTATTGCACTGTTAGTCTCATATCATTGGTAGCTAGCTTCTACTTTACCTGGAGCTATAGTGAGGCTGTTTAATTTGGACAGCTGTAAACCTTCCTACTCAAGAGTCAAAATGTAAATATCGTGTAATCAGATGGAGGTATTTTACTAGATCAAAGCTGTGATCAGTTAACTTGCTTTTTGTATGCTGTGTTTACAGGTGTTGATGTAGAAATCATGCTTTCTATCACCACAATAGAAACAGCAATCAATCTGGCATCAGACATACATTGCAACATCCTCCAACAGCGGTATTTGCACATCTGTAACCATCTGACAAATACTTAAACCCCTTTAAAAGTGTTTTTTTTTTTTTTTTTTGATGTGGCAAATAATGGTGCATTCTGAAACCCCTCAAACATTGGCTAATGTGGTCTTCCACTACTAAACAAAGACATAGGTCACATTTAACCTTGACCTTGGATGCAATACTTACAAGTGTTGATTCATGATTACCCAGAATTGCTGCTCCTAGCTTTCCCTGGTTCACTGGCTTTCCGTTTTCACTGTAAAGTAAAACATCGCTGGGCATGTAGCTCCTCTGCTTCCTTCTGACATGAGCTACAAAGCTGGTTTTGAAAACTTTCGTATACTCACTACTTGAACGCTTGAACGGCGGTGGCGTGCAGCAGTGATAAGCTCCCTGCGTTTTGAGCGTCTAAGAAGACAAGGGAATGATAAGGCGTCTTCGTGGCCTACAGTATAATTAGCTATCTATGTATCCTGGCACGGGGAACAGTAGTTGTTCCCCGTGCCAAATGGAAACAGCGAAAAATAAGTGATCTTGCAAATATTTTTTTCACTTATAAACCCATGTACTCACCAACGTTTTTGCTAGAAGGCTGCCTCGGTGGTGTGTAAGTTAGGGAGCTGTTATCCGCCTTGGCAGCTTCGGTGTCCGTAAAAAGCTTGGCAAGTTTTGAGCTGCGTGAATACAATTATATGCGAACTTTAGATATAACGGCGGCTTCGGTGACTCCCTCCAATTTTAGCACGAGAATATAATAAAATGAATGGGGATGTTAGGTGGCAACTCTCAAATCATGAGCACGAGTTGCTCGGACGCACAGTCCGTCTGCCGACGACGAGGCATGCTACTTGTTTACGTATTTTTCTTACCTCCCGGGCTGCACCGCAAAATCTAAATCGTCGTCGTCGTTTCCAAGTAGCATAATTAGGGGACTGGAGTTATCAGGAAGACATAAATTGAAGAAACAAAACGCTTTCCAGCGATAGGAAAGGTGCGCGACCACACAACCAAACGGCAACCTCCCCTTTTTGGCCTATGGATGGATGGATGTATGGATAAATCTACCTCATTAGATAGACGTCTGATAGACGTTAAAGTTTGTACCCTTTGTAATGGGCGGTAGCTTGCGCCACCTAGCTTAAGTCTAAAAAGACAAACGATTTCTCGATGAAAGGGGAAAAATACAGGCGAGGTTGGCGAAGAACTTCCATAGTAATCGGAGAGCACTCTCATAGTAACCAGTGAATAACTTTCATAGTAACCGGTGAAAGAATCTCGTAGAAACCGTATCTCCGGTTACAATACGCTTCCTTACGCTTCTCTAAGATAATTTTCTCCCCCTAATTATTAGCAGTAACCGGGGCGGTAGCCCCCCGCGACAACCCCCCCCCCCCCTTCCCTTTCACTGCCAAGCTACAACCCCCGCGAGCGCTGCACCTGGGGTAAAAACCTCCCCCCCCCCCCCCCACACACACACACACTTTCTTTATTTTTTATTTTTTTTAGTAACGTCATTGCACAACGCTGGTGAATAGACCGATTTTAGAAAATCGCCGGTTCAGGACGAGCGGTACCGGTCGCTTCCTCGACCTAGAAAGCTACATCCCCCCCCCCCCCCAATAAATAAAAAAATAAATAAATAAAATAAAATAAGTATTTAGTTTTAGTTGATGCTTATCTTTTTGTCCCCACAGATAGTTCTGAGACGCATTGTCCTCCTCCTTCGTAATCCGTGCATTGTTTCATCCTCAGACACTTTCTTTTTTTCTTTTTTTCTTTAATCAGCGAAAGTTACAAATGCGGTTTGTGCATGTGAGTTATGTGTGGAGGTTGGAGCCCTCATCCGTAAAATTCGGAAGCGCGTCCGAACTGCATCCAGTAAAAAAGTGCTTGCCCTTTAAATAAAAAAAAAAAAAGCCCTTTAAATCAAGCGAAAAAAAAAAAAAAAAAAAAAGGCGCGCAGGTGCAGGTATTAGTGCCGCCGCGCACCGCCGCAAACCCGCCCTCAATAGCAGTACAGGAAAATTCTAAAGGGCCGCCCACACTATACGAGAAAACGCGCGCGGAGCGCCGATCGCGTTAAAAACGCGTTCCGCAAAATCGGCTGAGCGGGAAGATTTTCCTGCCGCGAGGGCTACCTGCACCAGTGGCGTACCAACTTGTTTTTGAGTGGGGGGGCAAACCCGACCCTCTTCCCCCCCCCCCCCCCCCCTTAATCGAAAATTCGGCGCAACTTTTGTCGAACTTTTCTAAAGACGTGGCAATGATTCGGCAAAATTACAACGTTACCAGACTTAACATTGATATTTTGTTTTTTCTCACGAAAAAAATTTTGCTTCTTCTTCTTAAAATAAATACAACTTGTAGTGCCTATTGAAACAGTTATGATTAAATAAGGTGATATTCTACAAGATAATTGTATCGATGTCGCTTTTGTGTGTTTACTGGCAATTTTAGTGTTTGCTTGCAGAAAGTGGCGTGACAACGAGGTTGGGTAGTAGCCGGAGCAGTCACGAATCACACTACGAGAGTTTTGATTTTGAGGCTTCATCAGCGCACGCCTGCACGTGTGTTTACATTGTTAAAATAAAGACAATCACTGCGTTCTTACTTTCTCTGGGAGTCACCGTTTCGTGCGCGAAAACGGATGCAACGGTTGTTTAGCCTTCACCAGAAGAGATAACAATACTGTAAATATGCATGTTTTTCGATTTGAGTCACTTGACGTCAGCTTTGCATGAAAGTGCGCGTTCCATATTCGCAACGTGCCGTTTTTAACCTTTAAAATTCCGGTTTCTGGTGTTAGGACACACACGGACGTTTAGGAAGATGGGGAGAGTTAGGAATGTCGGATGTGCAACGTCGAGCATGATAGTTCTGTAACGAATACTTTTCATCAGTGTTTACTAACGAGTGCTTGGACTTCGTCCCCACTCTCCCTGAAGAGCTTTACGAGCGCATGCATCCTATTAACGTTAACTCCGCTGGTATTAAAACATTGATTGATAAACCAAAACTTACTTCGTCCGCTGGAACCGATAACATCAACCCTAAAATTTAAAAGAAACACCTGTGTTATTTCTAGTGAGTATTTGAAACTCATCTTCATTCAGTCCTCATCTCAAAGCTGCCTTCCATCTGACCAAAAGGTGGGAAGGGTAATTCCCAGTCTTTAAACAGGGCAGCCACTCTTCCGCATCTAATTATCGCCCTAATTCATTGACTTCAATTTCTTGCAAACTACTTGAGCATATCCTCTACTCCAATATCATGAGGCACCTATCATCCCATTTCTTTTCTTTAAACAGCAGCACGGTTTTCAAAAGGTACTTTCCTGCGAAACGCAACTCTGCGACTTCATCCATGACTTGCACACTAACCTTGAATGTCACGTCCAAACTGACGCAGTTTTTTTTTTTTTTTTTCCAAAGCGTTTGGTCGTGTCCTCCATCAACGCCTTCTTTCTAAGCTATCATCTTTTTGCCTCGGCCAATAACCGTTTGCATGGATTCGTGACTTTCTTTTTTCCCGTGTACAGGTCACGTCCATGATGATCATGAATCTTCCTTAATAAATGTATCTCCTGGTGTTCCCCTGGGGTTCGTACTTGGGCCCTTACTCTTTTTAATATTTATTAATGACATTCCCATTGGGATTTCTTCAAAAAAACGCTTTTTCGACGACGACTGCGTCATCCATAACAAAGTAACTTGTGTGCAAAATAATAACCAGCTTCAGGAAGATCTAGATAAAATTAACAATTGGTGCAAAGAGTGGATTATGTCACCAAACAAGTATAAACGCAAACTAATCCACTTCACCAAGAAAAAAACCACTCTGTCATTTAATTACATCTTGGACTCCGATCTGATTGAGACCGCTACTGTGTATAAATACCTTGGTGTAAGACTAACATCTGACCTTCCCTGGAATAACCACATTGAAGTCATTACCGCCAATTCATCTGGAACTCTTGGACTAAGCAGACGTAACTTAAAAAATCGCTCCACCCTTTGTCCCTAAGCTAACCTTTAACACGTACGTCAGACCAAAAATAGAATATGCTTCAACCATCTGGAATACCCATCGACTGTACCTCATCAATACGCTGTAGAGGCAGTTCAGAACAGAGCTGCTCGCTTCATTTCATCCACTTATGACTTTTCTTTCAGTGTCTAGGCGCTAAAAACTGAACTAACCATGTCCTCTTTGCAGCTTCGCAGGAAAGTCTCTCAGTTGTGCCTTATTCACAAAATCTACTACCACATTCCCGACCTCAAAACCACTTTGTTATTACCCCTCGACCGAACATCTTCTCGCCTCAACAACGTCTGCACCATCAAACACACTTCTGGCTCTACGAACGCTTTCAATTGGTCATTCCTTTCTCAAGCCATCAGCCACTGGAACAGTCCCCGATCCTCCATTGTCACCATCTTGGACCCTGCTGATTTCTCCTCTGCAGTAAAACTACACCTTTCTTGGCCCATGTGATGGTGTGCGGGGCTAGGCAGATCAGTGAAAACACTTACGCAGAGCGCTTGCCAGACTTGTACGTAGTTCAACTACTTTACTCAAGTTACTGTAGTTTAACTACTTTTCTGGGTAGTTTAGTAACTTTTAATTACATTTCTATTCTAGTAATCAGTAGTTTACTTTAACTACTTTTCCGAGTGACTTCCACTGAAATTACAAATTACTTTCTAATTTTAGTGGTTGTTTTGCCTATCAACAGAGAACAGAGGTCGGAAGGTCAGCTGATATTTGCAGAGGGGGAAGCATGCGGAGTAGAAAAGGGGGGGGGGGGGGGGGGGATGGGAAGGAAGAAAGTGATTTAGATAGTCCAAAAAACCTCAAAATTTTAACGAGCCCCCCCCACTGCAACAACACTGCTACGAGGCGCGGGGAGCGAACAGACACGACGCAAGAGAGGTCGAGTAACTGTGGGATTAGCTCCGAATAGTGGCGTTTCTTTGTATTCCGAAGCTCAAGGAGACTTGACGCATTTGAAGAAAGGGCTTGTCCCCGCTTCTCTCCAATGTAGGAATTCTTGCCCACTACAGGAGGTGCACACACTGCTCCTTTTACGGTGCAGGCGATAGAACCCCTAACAACGACGCTCACGCCGGATGGGCTGCTCGTGTATCACTCGAAGCGCGTTAACCCACCCCCGCGCCTGCGTTCACGCCGCTTCGCGGTGACGGTGTGCGGCTGCTAATTACAAATCTATTAACCCACCTAGCCCCCCCACCCCCGTACACGCCGCTTTGCGGCGTCCGGTCGGCAACCCAAGCCCCGCTGCCCCCCATGCACTTCCGTAAATAGAGTCGATACGATTTAGTTTAGCGATGTTTCGTCAACAACATTCGTTTTTTTAGTGTTAATGGTAAAAAAGAAATGTAAATATCGCCAAATGCCTCGACAAAACAAAATGTTCGAGAAAAAAAATAAAAAGAAGTAAGCCGGCCCACACCATAAATAGAACCCGGGTCTGACACGTATGAGGCAGACATCTCACCACTAAGTTACGCTACCTCTTCGGAAACTCGCAATGCATCCGCTGCCTATGTTGACGGCGGCAGCGCCTATCTCCAAGCAAGCAAGCAAAACTTTATTTTGTGTAAGGGCCTACGTCCTGGTCTGGACGGCCCGTCCGGCCCATGTCTCGCGGATGGATTCCGTAAGGTTACCGTGTAGCCTTGTTCGTGGAGCAAGGCTTTACGAACCAGCCAGTCCGACGTGCGTGAGCACCGTTGCTAGGGTTTGTATCGCCTGCGCGTTAAAAATATGCCCGCGCGGGTCGGGGGGCAGTGCCCTTGGTATTCCTTGGGCGCCGCCGGCCTGTGTCTGCTCTGCCCAGTGGCGGCCGTTTCAGGGGGGCAAAACGCATGCCTTGCCCCCCCACTCTGAGAACTGGGGGGGCAAGTGCCCCCCTTGCCCCCCCGGTTGGTACGCCCATGACCTGCACTATTTCTTGTGGTATGCCGCGTGCCGATCGGCACGCGGATTGCGTTGAAAGCGATCGCGTTTTCAACGCGATCGGCGCGCCGCGCGTTTTCTCGCTAGTGTGGGCGGCCCTTAACTGGCCGC